ATTGAACATCGGAAAGATTGCTGACGGATTTTGATTATGTGCACACTGAAACCACTCTTCACATATACTCATAATATCATATAATTTTTCCTAAAATAAACATAAGTCTTCTGAAAAAACATGAAAAATCTGGGTTAATACAAAAAAAACTTAAAATCAATAATAACAAAAAAAATAAAAAGAGAATCATAAACATTGTTACTTTGTTATATTTCAGAGGAGAATGGTCTTTAAAAATAACTAGACTGTGTTGGCCATCATACTTTGCACAATTCGATGCTGTTAAACATGTCTCTCGCTCTATCCTTCCCCAAAGATCTAAACTTAATTAACATTTATTACCAATAATTAAGAACTTTCTATTTGGTGTTTGTTTGTAATGATTATTTTGCACATACAACATGGAAAAGTATTTTCAAATAATTTAATATAGGATAAAATAGTAACATCGTAATGGTTTACCAGGCTTGGCGGGAAGCGGGAGCGATTGCTCTCGATTACTGGCCACAGAAATAATATTTAGTTGCGAAAAACTGGCCAGATTTTTTAGTCATTTTGAGAACATTTCAAAAAGCAAAAAAAAATGTGCTAAATATTAATTGGACCGATGAGAGACAATTACAAAATAAAATATAAAATTGGAAAAATAAAATATCTTTGAACGCGAAAAAACTTAAAGCAAAATAAAGTATGTTTAGAACAAATATTTTCAAAACATCGCTTTTTTATAATTTTTTTATAAAATTAAGCGACATTTTTTATTTAAAGTAACATCTTACAATTGCTTAAAAAGGAAACAAATGTTTTTTGATTAAAAGAGTGAAATATAATTTTTATTTATATGCTTGTGTCTTATTTCCAGTGCTAGATTAAGGAGGGTTGGATTTAGAGGGGGCTATAGACCCAACCCCGCTATGTTAGGCCCCAAAAAAGTCAAGAAGACTTTTTTGTTTAGTCATTTTTACGCTGTGGCACATACAAAGGCATCCAAAATAAAAATAGCCCCTGGGCCCCAAAAAATCTAACAAGATTCTAATAAAACTAACGCAACTTTTAGTTTTATCTAAGCTAAATTATTTTATAAATAAAAAAAATAATTTTTTTAATACCTATTTAATGCTTCGCGTAGCTTGAAAAGTTTAACATATTTGAAACAATTCTTCTTAGTAAGATAAACAAATGAAATAATTAAATCATTGAATTACTATGGAAATTAAATAAACTAGATAGAAATCAACTAAAAAGGTTAAAAAAACTTTATGATGAGGAAGCGAAACTGCTTCACAATATTGCTGATAATGTTTAGTGAGTGGGTTTTTTAATTTTAATTAGTATTTAAAGCAGAAAAAAGTATATTGAGTTTTATAAATGGTAACTGAAGCAAAAATAATTAGAGTTAGTAAACCAATATCTAGAAACTTTTCTTTATATCTAACAACTTGCTATATATATTTTTGTTCTGTTGTGACCTCAGGCACGGTGCTTGTTCATCCAAGAGTTACTTTGTAGCATTGTTTGTGTTTAGTAACCCGAAACTTCTTATATGTTTGTTACATAATTAATTTTATTAACTTTGATAATTATTAACAACTTTATTGAAAACGCAATTATTAATGCAAGTCTTTGTTTACAAATTAAATCCTAAAAATTGCTTTAAAAGATTACATAACGATAAAAAACAGATAAAAAAATTACATTTACATGAAAAACACATAGTTTTTAAATAAAAAATAAGAATATACTAATAAAATCTATAATTTGTACTTTCAATAATTTGACAATTTAAAAAATATATATTATAAAACATTAATTTTTGCAAACAAATAATAATAGTTTAAGAGATTACGGCTCCGAGAATGAGCCATAGTATTGATAATATATTCTTAAAATAATTTATGCTAGAAATCTCAAAACGTAACAAATGGTGATTAATACAATTTCTTAAACATTTCAACAGAAAAATCTAGAACTTTATTTCGAATAGTCAGCATATTTTTTGAACCAATAGAATTAGTTCGTAAATTTGGCGGGTTTTCAGTGTTCGCGAATATTCTTTTTATTCTTCTGCACCAAGATGTTTTGAGAACATTTAAGTTTATTACGTTTCTATGTGTCTGTAAAACAAAAGTTTTTTGTTATGTAGGTAAACTTAAATTTCTCAAAACGACTAAAAAACGTGGCCAGTTTTTTGCAACTAAATATTATTTCTGTGGTCAGTATTCGAGAGCGATCGCTCCCGCTTCCCAACCAAGCCTGGTTTACAATACACTTATTTAATCTTTAACTATTTATTCATTTAGCTATGTCTATTTTTTTTTTCTAAAATAATTTTATGCCGCAAAATTTAACAAAAAAAAAAAAATCAAACTTATTGAATTAGTGAAAACTTACATACATTTCCAGATTATGCAGGACTTAATGAAATGCCGAACATTAGCCCCTCACCATTATACATTAGCCCCTCACCATTACGAACATTAGCCCCACATTAATTTTTAACAATATTCAATTAAATCATTATATAAATAGGTATATTCAAAACTAAATACACAAATAGGTATGAAATAAAATCTTAAAGAGTTATTTTCTTTTTAATTGTGATACATTACTGATTACAATAAAAAGGACCCAGAAATAATAGAAGAACAAGTCACCCAAGAAAAACAATCTATTTCAGATTTTTTTTTATTTTGCAGTCCTAGCCCTAAGAAAACTCTTGCCCACCCCAAACACACTCACTGCAGTTTTTAAACCTTAAGCCTTCCCAGGAAAGGCGTGCAGCTTTTTGTCTCGTATGACCACACACGATTATACTATTTTAGAAAACGTGAACACGGCCGTTTGCAAGTTTTATAATAATGCTGAAAAAGTTTCAAAAACAAAAAAAACAAAACTAACAAAATAAAAAGAGAAATATAAAAAAATAAAAACAAATTAATAATTTAAATAACTTATGTACTGTTTTTATTTTTGTTTCTTTTGAGTTACATTCAGCAACAAAAATTAGATAAGGCGAAGCAAAAAAAAACAGTTTGAAGTCTACAATAATGAGAATGATTTTCCTTTTCTTAATTTTTTAAGAGGATAGCAAAAATACAAATTACAATGTGTTTGTAAAATTTATTTATATGATTTTAATGTAACAGCATGGGTTGAATTAAGCAAATGCAAAACGCAAAATCTGGAAAAATATCTAGTATTCAAAATTTTAGTTTATACAAAACCGTGTTCCTTGTTTTTAAGGGGAGAATCAACTTTAATTTGTTAGCGAAAAAAAATAACAATAAACTTACAATTTCAAAAGTAATAACACTCTAGTCACTAACTGCATTTCAAAAGTAATAACACTATAATACAGGCTTGGTCGGGAAGCGGGTGCGATCACACTCGATAACTGACCACGGAAATAATAATTAGTTGCAAAAAACCGACCAGATATTTTAGTCGTTTTGAGAACATTTAAATTTATGTATGTTTCTCTAATTAAGTTCATTATTTTATCGTAATTTTCTAAATATTTTGTTTACGGACATACATGGAAACATACATAAACTTGAATGTTCTCAAACATCTTTGTGCAGAAAAATAAAATAAAAACACAAAAAACCCGCCAAATCTACAAACAACTAATTCTATTGGTTAAAAAAATACTAACCGAAATTTCTAGAGTATTCTGTTGAAATATTTTTAAAAATTGTATTATTAGAGTTTTGTTATGATTTCGTTGAGATTTCTAGCATAAATTGTTTTAAGAATATGCTATCACACAAACTATTTTTTTAATTCTCGGAGCCACATTTACAAAGCTATAAATGTTTAAAACTAACATTATTTGTTTAAAAAATAAATGTTTTTAATTTACTAACTTTAATTATTTTTGCTTCAGCCATTCTTACAAACTCGTTATACTTAAACTTAAAGTTAATTTTTTCTGTTTTAAAAACTAATTAAAATTATAAAGCCCACTAACTAAACATCATCAGCGTTATTGTGAAGTAGTTCTGCTTCCTCCTCACATAGTAATTTAACGTTTTTAGTTAATTTCTATTTAGCTAATTGAATTTCTACAAAAACTCAATGATTTAATTATTTCATTTGTTTATCTTATAAGATATTTAACACATTTGAAACAATTTTTCTTAGTATACTAAGAAAAATTGTTTCAAATGTGTTAAATTTTTCAAACTACACGAAGCATAAAACAGTTATTGAAAAAACTTTTTTATTTATAAATAAATCATCTAGCGTTAGTTTTATTAGTTGAATCTTGTTGGACTTTTCAAGGCTGGGGACTGCATTATTTTGGTGGCCTTTATCATGTGCCACAGCGTAAAAATGACTGAAAAAAATATCGAATGGTCCTCTTGACTATTTCGCGGCCCCTAACATTGTGAGTCCCAAGGCTATAGCCCTTCTACTCCCCCCCTCCTCCTCAATCCAGCACTGGAAATAAGACAAGTATATAAATAAAAATTATATATACTCTTTGATAAATCGGAGAACATTTGTGTCCTTATTAAACAATCATTATTAGTAAGTTGTTACTTTATATAAAAAAATGTCACTTAATATTATAAAAAAATTTATAAAAGAGCGACATTTCAAAAATATTTGCTCTAATCGTATTTATTTTACTTAAAGTTTTTTCGCAGTTAAAAGCTATTTTTCTTTTTTTAACTGTCTCTCATCGGTCCAGTTAATCTTATTGCACTTTTTTGTTTGTTTTTGAAATGTTCTCAAAACGACTAAAAAATCTGGTCGGTTTTTCGCAACTAAATATTATTTCCGTGGCCAATTATCGAGTGCGATCGCACCCGCTTCCCGACCAAGCCTGTATAATAGTGTTATTATTTTTATAACGCACTTATAACTTTTAAAATTCATTCTTTGCTCAAGCAACATTAGTATTCCCAAATTTTAATTGAAGTAGAAAAATATCTAAGAATATAGTAGATGTTCAAATAATATTAAAACAACTTTATGAAAACGTATCGTATTAAAAGTTTAGCATTATAAAAAACGTTACTAATGGACTGTAAAAATGCGCGTTAATTTTAAAATTAACCAATAAAAATTTTTTATTGGTTGATTTTAAAATTAACGCGTGTTTTTACGTAACGTTTTTCATAATGCTATACTTTTTATAAACTACTTTTTTATAAAGTTGTTTAAATGATATGTGAAAGTTCCTGAAATTTTTAATAATATTTGAATATCCGCTTTATTTTTTCTAGATGCTTTTCTACTTAAATAAATGTTTGGAATTAATAATGTTGTTTGAACAAAGAATGAACTTTAAAAGTAACAAGTGCTTTATAAATGTAATAACACTATTATAGTTGTATTACTTTTATAATGCAGTTAGTGACTAAAGTGTTATTACTTTTATAGTTGTAAGTTTATTGTTTTTGTTTTGTTTTTTGTAACTTTCTCGCTAGCAAACTTTTAATAATTTGCTCCTTATAAACAAAATAAACAGCTTTGCATGAACTAAAATTTTAAACACCTAATATTATACCAGAGTTTGCAAATTGCGATTGTATTTAACTCTTGATATAAACTATAGAATTTAACTCTTGATATAAACTTGTTGCATTATATTTATACAAATATATTTTACAAACAGATGACAATACATAATTAATCTTTCCTCTCTAAAAGAAAAAACACATAAAATATGGGAAAGTCATCCTTTTTAACGCCTAAAACCGTTTTTTTATTTATTATTTTTTGCTATGACTTAATGAATTTTGTTTTTTCTTAGTGGTTATTATTTTGATAATAATAACCACTAAGAAAAAACAAAAATAAAAACAACACAAATTATTTAAACTATTATTATTGTTTTCTATTTAAGTTTCTTATGTAGTTATTAAATTTAAAACAATTTTTCAGTAACGCATATAATATAACTTGCGCAAACGGCCGTGATCAAGTTCTCTAAGTTGCAAAACGTTTTTGTGGTCGTACGAGACGAAAAACCTCACATCTTTCCTGGGAAGGCTTGAACCTTATCATTATTTTCAATAACAGTAATGCTGCGATATATGAGTTTGATTGTAAAGACAAAGAAAAGATAATGGTAGTAATAAGTTCAAAAAAAATAATATCCTTAGGCATTTTAAGATTTATGGGTAGCATAAGCAGCATTAATAGAGAATTTGCAGAGACACCAAAAATAAAATCATCTTCCTACTAAAGATATTACTAAAATTTCTGATTAAAAAGTGAATAAAATATACAAATACAGGGCTCGAATTGAGTGATCGGGAATTGCAATATCCGGAAATATCTGTGGTTATTAAATTCTTAATTTTAAAAAAAACCGTAAACACTGCTTTAATGAAACCGTCAAACAGTGTATTGCAAAAATTAATGAAAAAGAAAAACAATAAATTTACTACTGCAAAAATAATAACAGTCAAAGTTTAAATATTATTAGTTATTGTATTTTTAATCAATAATTATTAATATGTAATTTAAGGATTATAAATAAAAAAAAATTGCAAGACAAAAATTATTATTACTAAAGGTCCGAAAAACTTTTGCGTTAATTAAAAAATCAACCAATGAAAAAGTATGCTTAAGCTATTTGCGCATTTTATAAAACTTTGTATAAAAAATAACCAATTAAAAAGTATGCTAAAGCTACTTGCGCATTATATAAAATATTAAAATAGATTTTTATTTAGGGGGAAAGTTTATGGAATTATTTATTTTAAAATTTAAATGTTTTAAATTAGAATTTAATTATTTAATAAGAAAAAAAAATTATAAAGTATATTTTTTTTAAATATGTTATTAGAGTTTCTTTTTTTGTTTGTTTTAAATTAACTATTAAAAAGTTTAAATTAGTTTTTATATATTAACTCCTCCGTCTTTTAATTTTATATTCATATCAGGTAAAGTGTTACAAGCGTTAAATTTATAAAAAAATATTGAATGAGATTTAAAATAAGATATAAAAGTATTTTATATCTTATTTAACAATTTCTTTTATTTAAAATATTCGATCACTGTTAAAGTCCTTTAGATTGTTGTGATTAGCGCTTGTTTTTTAATATTTATATCGTACTTTATCGTGCTTTAATTTTCTAGTTTTATCTGATGTTTTATAAAATAAATTAAAATATTAAATTAAATTATAACCTTTAATAATAAGACTGAATTAAGTGATCGCATTTCGCGATCACTTAATTTGAGCCCTGAAATATCTAATTTTTTTGCCAATTATTAAAAATAAAGTCAAGAATTCGATTAATTTTTAAAATTATATTTATCAATGAATAACTTGTAAAAAATACTTTGAATTAACATAGGAAAACTCACCTATAGCTGTATAACTTAGCGGTGAGCAAAAATCACATTTATCAGGTATAGCTTGCAATTCATCAGAAATATCTGTATAAGACCTATTTTCAAAGTTATTGTTCATTGGGCGACATGATCGAAGTGGGTTAAATAAAGTTTGCTGATAAGTCCATTTGTTCACAACACGAACTAAATAAAAACAAAGATGAATAGAAAACTATATATATACATGCAAAAAAAATAATTGAGAGTTTGTGGTGCAATAAAAAATGTTTGTTAGCCCTGTAATGACAGTATAAAACCACGCTTGTCTTAAGAATTTGAGAGAGAAAATAATAAGTTGTTTACTTGATTTCATATAAAATATAAATCTTTATAAAAAAATAATTAATTTTCCATGTCTCATTTATATTTAAAAAATGCAGCAATTAAATTGCCTTTTAAAATATAATGATCAAATTGAAAAAACTAAAATAAAAAGATCATTTTGTTTTTTGATTACATTATAGGTAAACGCATTGCAAAAAACAACCATACCTCAAAAACCACAATGTTGATTAAAGTGACCTAGATTTGGTAAATAATTCAAGATATTAAAACTTTGATATAATATGAAAGTCAATATCTATTTATGAATTAAAGTGGTTTTAGTAGTTATTTCTTGCAGAAAGTTCCGTTTATAGCAAAAAAACCCGCAAATTTTAACAAAGAAAAAATAGTTATTTTGTAGACTACTTAATATAACATTGATTTAACAGCAGGTTAATACTACAATGTTACCATAACATCAACAGGTTAATACTACAAGATTAACATAACATCAACAGGTTAATACTACAATGTTAGCATAACATCAACAAGTAATTTGATTTCTGTATTAAAAAGAAAGATTATTAATCTTCATTATTTTCATTATAAATGTTGTCTAAATTGGTTTGTAGCGAAAACAGCTGGAGAAGTGATTGCCTGGTAAAATCATCACAGGTTTCACATCATCAACTCTGCAACTGGCTTTGCTGCAAATTGTATGAAGAACATCAAGACAAATAGGACATTGCTTAAGCCCAAAAGCTTGACACTCTTTTTGTTGGCAACTACATTCACTTTTACATTTAATAAATTTTTCTTTATCTTCTTTTTTCTTTTTTGCTTCCTCCTTTGCTGATAGCTTTCATTGCTTTTCTTCTTTTATCTTCTTCACTTTTGCTGCAACACCTTTTGCATGCATTGAACCATAGACCTGAGTAACTTTATCTTGTTGCATCAAGTTTTGATGCCCATTTCTCCCATATATTACCTAAGATGGTCATAAATCCTTCTTGATTGATTGATCGCATCGGGTTAAAAAAAGAATTTTTGGCATTTCTGTAGTCGTGATAAAGATTTTTATTAATCTGGTTGAGCAACTGAGTTATGTCAGTAGAAGAAATAACTAAATTTTTTTTGAAAGGAGGTACATCAAACCATTGTAACTGAATCGTGAACTATGTCCGTCAGTTTTTAACACAACAGGTCATTCTATCCCCTTCTCAGTAAGGTAATTGTCAAATTCTTGACAAGCAGCCTTAAAAGTGGCACAATCTGACATTCTATTTTCTGATATTGTAACAAGTAAATGACTAATTTTTTTCTACAGCTACTTGTGGTACCATCTGACTTGTCATTCCAACTTTTTTTTATAATAAAAGTTACAAAAGTTTTACAGCAAAAAAGAGCTATAAACAAAATAGGTAAAAGTTGTTATGACATAAGTAGGTACAAAAGTTTGGACTTTTTTCAGTTAGTCCATATTACTCTCAGTTCTTACCATAGGCATATTAATCCATGGCATAATAAAGCATTGATATACTTGCATAATAATAGCAATTTATATTAATAATAGCAATTGATAGCAATTATAATTTAATTTTATAATCACACCAGCTGTATAATAAGTCTTCAGGCAATAATAAAATGAATCTATACACAAAGAATAAAAAAAATATTGAGATGTGCTTTTTTTGTGGTTTTTGCATTATGTATACCTGTAAGAAAAAACCAATAAATTATTTTTTATTTTTTTGCTAAATAAAATCTTGAAGAAAAACATAATTTTTCTGACAAATGTAAATAAAATAAAAAAGAAAGGAGGCTACTTCATTTTATTATTTTTTAAATGTTATAACACCTTTTTAACTGCTGATTAGTGTTGATTGGCAGAAAGTTTTTGAATATTCAAGTTTTTAAATACTATAGTAATCTAAAATTTAAAGTTTTAAAACACTTGAAAAAATTTTGAACTTTTGTTACATAAATATTTGTATTTTTGTTTATCTAATTTTATAATTTTTATTGTTAAATAAATTTTTGTGTAAATTTTAAATAAATTTATAGTGATTTAAAATTACATTAAATATGTTAAGTTAAATATGATAATTACATTAAATAGTTAAGGCTTTAAAATGAACTTTTAAAATGAAAATCTTTTGAACCTTTGGGAATTTTAAAACAAATAGGGAATTCTGTGTTATATGAGGTACCATCAGGTTGGCTAACACCCTGTCATCTTGAGTCTTACTTACTCTCTGACAATTAATAGAGATTTTGATCTTCTTGTTATACAGCTGACTTGCTAACTGCTGTAACTGAAAGATTCTATTGTGCATTAGATAGAGCCATCAAAGCAAGGACTAATGCTTTTGACATACTGTAAAATTTGGCATGATGGTTTTCTTTATATGGTGTATTTGAGAGTTTTTGAGATTATCAAATCATTTTTTTCTAACCATAGTATTTATGTAATCCTTGAAGGACAATATTCTTCTTGATTTATACATATATATCCTTGGTCCTGTATGGTTTTTTATCTACATTAGTGTTTTCCAGACAATCTTATATCTAAAGTAATTTGCTGCAGCCCTCGAAATTAGAAAAAAAAGGTCAGCAAAAAATTACCAATCTAAAGCAATTTTAGGTTGGTGTCAGGTTGGCATAAAATAATTAGATTAAATTAAATAAGGTTAACACAAAATCAGGGTATGACAAATCAATGAACATTTAATTGTAATTATTTTATTCAAAATTTAAACTAATTAAAAGTTCATTTGCAGTATTTCAATCATTTGAAAAAGCAAATAAAATTAAGTTTTAAAATTCTAAGGTCAGCAAAATTATACTTACCTCAGTCACTATCAGGTCAGCATTGCCAACCTAATTCAACCTAATTTGAAGAGCAACGCTAATTCCAAGAGCTATTGCTGAAAATATTGTTGACATTTCAATATTGATGGGTGGCAAACCTCTCACTGATCAACCTCTCATTTTGAATTATCATTTGCTATAGTAAGCAAACAGGTTTGAAAATTTCTTGGGTAGAAATCTTTTGTCTTTCTGTTGACAAATGTGCTTCTTACATAACTTTGTGGATTCAGGCTGGCATGGAATCCTTTATTCCTTCTCAACAATTCCAGGTCAAGCCTCTTCCCCATGGTTTTCCTTATATTGTGCTGCTGCAATTGCCAATCGAAACCATTAATTCCATATCTATCAGCAAAACAATTCTCCAGAATACAGACGTCTGTTTATTACTGATAGGAATCATTGTAAAAAGGTTTTGACTAATGCCAAAGTCTGCTATTCTCAGGTCACGAAATCTCATATTTCATCACAAAAATTAGGCTCTCGAAACTTCTGGAGAATCTTTAATAGTATCAATAATAAGGGCAAGTCTGTAATTCCACTTCTTTTGTATGGTTCAGACTTTGTCACTTCACCTAAAGACAAAGCTGAATTGTTTGCTAAGAACTTTTCATCGATATCATCTCTTGATTCCACTAGTTGCGTTCTAGCTGATATAGCCGTCAAACAGGTTGATCCATTGCTTGACATTTGATTCACTCCAGCTTCTGTATTTTAGCTTGTGGCCCAGACAACATACCTGTTATAGTCTTGCAGAAGTGTTCTCCGGAGATGTCATCTATAACTTTAAAACTATTCAACAAGTGCTTATCAGTCTTGTTTTTCAGCCTGCTGGAAAGCAGCATCTGTTATCCCTATTTTTAAAAATTCTGGAGAGCGATCCAATTCGTCAAACTACCGTCCCATTAGTCTTCTTATCATAAGCAAGGTTTTTGAATCTTTAATTAACAAACACTTAATCTCTCATCTTGAACCTAATAACTTTCTGTTTATCAATATAGATTTTATTCTTCTCATTCTACGGCTGATTTGCTAACAGTAAAAACCGATAGGTTTTATCGTGCATTCGATAAAGGTGGAGAGGTTAAGGCTATTGCTCTTGACATTTCTAAAGTGTTTAATATAGTTTGGCATGCTGGTCTATCTCCATAAGTACTCTTTTTTTAATTCTGTAACCTTAGAGGTTTCTCAAGGTTTAATCCTTGGAGCTATACTCTTTTTAATTTACATTAACAATCTTCCAGATATTCTCACATCTAAGGTGGCATTTTTTGCTGATGATACTACCATTTATTTTTGTCATGATATAAAAACCAACTCTCTCTGATTAGTTGGAGGGGGCTTTTGAGCTTGAAAAGGATCTCACTTCTGCTACAGCATGGGGCTCACAGTGGCTGGTGAACTTTAATTCAGATAAAACTCAATTTTTTTCAGTCAATCGTTATCGCAATAATTTAGATCTCCCTATATTTATGAACGGTAATGTACTTGATGAGTCATCTACCCTTCATCTTCTAGGATTAACACTTACTTCTGATCTTTCTTGGAAACCATATATTAAATTCGTTGCAAAACTAGTATCTATTAAAGTTGCATTTTTTTTATCGAGCTTGACACTTTCTTACTTTGGATTCTATTCTCTATCTCTACAAATCTCAAATTTGACCTTGTACGGAATACTGTTGCCATACCTGGGGCAGATCTTCTAATGATGCCCTTTCTCTTTTAGACAAGGTGCAAAAACACATTGTAAACATAGTTAAACCTGCTCTTGCAGCCAACCTTTAACCATTATCACATTGTCGTAATGTTGCCTCTCTTTCTCTTTTCCACAAATACTATAATGGGCACTGCTCTAAAGAGCTAGTGTCTCTTGTGCCATCAATTAAAATTTATTACTGTGTTACTCTTCATTCAATTAACTCTCATTCTTTTTCTGTGACTATTTCTAAGTGCTCCAAAAACTCTTATTCATCTATTATTTTTTCCTCTAACATCAGTTCTTTGGAATT